ATTCTTCTCACGTCCTCAAAACGGACATGTCTATATAAACATTATAGCAAATTTTCCATGCACATTATCCGCTTTCACGAATTGCCTCTAATCTCATGTGTCATTACTGGGATCGTTTTCTAAATATGTTTGTTGATTATAGACGGTCAACTTCATTTATTGTAAGGGTTGATTTGAATAAATCGTTGCTTACAATTTTGTCTTTTTTTATTTTAATATTTTATCACTATACATATTAAATAGCTTAATAAATTATATTTTTAGTTATTAATTTTAGACTGTCACTGTCACAAAAAATAACATTAATTACGTTTGATACTAATGAATTATGTTTTCCTATTGTACAATTTTCAGTAACATCTAGTGCTTTTATGTCTTCGACAAAGACCTCTGGATTGAAGCCAAGGAAGATGTTTGCTATACTCACAAATAACTACTTGAGGCCGAGTATTCCGTTTTGCTATACCAAAATACGTGGTCGATACTCAATAACTGGTAGTAATTACCCGTTCTGCGAGATTACGCCGTCAAAGGCCTCCGAGTTCTGACATTGACGATTGTTACAAAAGCAAAGGCTATTAAGTGAAGTGTATTGTTTATTTCTGTGAAGCGGTGACAAAGCATCTCATCTTCGGTAACGACCGAAGATCTCGTTCCGTTCAACGTGCGACCAAAGGGTGATATAGATACTTTAATCTATATGCATATTAAATAAGTCTTTGAATCGTTTTTGTTCCTGGCCGTCTCAAATATATGCTTAATGCTAATTGCTTACGTTTATACACACAACGCAGTGTATCACAATATGTAAAAGTGTCACAAATTTAATAATAAGCATACAATTATGATACACTTATTAAAAATTAAACTACAACATTTAAAGATAAAGATTTGTTTCCATTAAAAGGTAGCTTTTACCGAAGTAACCATACTCTTAATCTCGATTCCAAGTGATAAACTTCACCGAAACGAACATAAAAAAGGTCTGAATCAAAGATCAATAAATTCCGCAACAGCTCAAAACTACATCAGATTCCGTTACAGTTAGAAATGCGAGCTTTAGTCTCTTGCATATTTTACGAAGGCAAGGAAATCGAAACACGTTCTAGTTGACAAGTCAGGGCGTGACAAAGCCCGCCCGAGGTGTAATTGGTAGCTAATCCTAGCTTTCAGGAGCGTTCACGACATACATGATGCGATGTTTGTACATAGCTTTATGGCGCGGTTTACGGACGATTTAGTCTGAGTTTTAAGTGATTGTTGAATTTATGGCATGCATATACTAAAAAGACAATGGCGTTCGTGATTATTATATTAACAACCAGTCTCCAGTGACTTGTTTATTTATGGTTATGTATCATATTCTATATATTAAGCACTAAAAACCGCACGATAAATACATTTCATAAAAATCAGTTATCAAAAAACCATATATTCCTAAATGTAATTCTCATATATCATCAGCGCGATGTTTAGTCAATTTATGAATAAAATAACAAATGGCAAACGCTCTTAAAATAACGTAGACCAATCGATTAAGCGGCGTTCACTAAAATCATTCAACATTATAATTAGATTTTACTATTCAACATGTAACAATTGTAACTTTTATTGTGTTATGTTAACAAGATTTATAGCCAGTTGGTTTGTTTTAAAAATAACTCAAACTGTTACTTCTCAAAGGTTGCGAAAACAAAAAAACTGTTCCTTGGCTATGTTTGTGTTATTTGAGTGATATTCTTTTCACGAGATTTCACGTTTGTCTTCTTGTTTGATGTGAACAAACAAAGTGGAATTCTATTGAAATGAACAAGACCATTTATGTCCCAATTGAAATACTAGCGGCGATAAAATAATATATATATAACAGACGCCTGTCGTAAATTTAGCAATTCATATGGGACTGACCGAATAAATATTATAAGTTCTATTTCGGCTGTATATATTTTATTCATATCTAATAAAAAAAACTGAATAGAATGGATATCGCGAAAAACGGTGTCAATTTGAAAGATAAAACAGTTTTCTCTTTTTCACTGTCACGGAATAATTTATTTAGTAAATAGCTCTATGATAGCTAATGAATTTTTATATATCGCAATTATTTTTGAGACGTAAGCATCACTGGGGTCAGTTGGTGGTAGAGGGGAAGATAATTGGAATCCGTCAGAGAGAACGCCGCGGATGACAAATGACGGGTGTTGTTGCTGGTGGCTCTGTATGCTTTTATTGTAATTATAAGAAAATAAAAGTCATCTTACACACATACACATATTCACACCATCAATATATATGAAATACTTCATTCATAATCTTATGTCGTACATTAAATTGACTCGCGATATAAAATTTATTCACTTACTCTTATCTGAAATATTACTCAATTATATTAAAAACATATGACATTACATATATGATAGATACATATATGACATAAAATAATTGCGATGTCTCCTATCTGTAACAACCAAATTCGGGGAGCGGCTTATTTTTCCTTTTGTTCAGACTTGTACTGAGACATTCATGGACATAAATTCGCAACATCCTTGCTACAGGATATCATTTGTCATATGTTCTGTGTTACGGAATAGTCCAGATGGACAAAACATTATTTGTCCGCACCATAACTCTGAAAAAAGTTGCCTACACCCTTTTTTACAACCATACATGCAGGAGGATACGTTATTGTTAAAAATTTTAAATATTTATATGCAATAACTTTTATTACATTCCAGCTTCGTTTGTCCACTTTTTCTATATTTACATATATGCTTGGTTATTAACAGTGCGAATCTCTTGACTTAATACGATTGAAAACATGTAATAGTTACAAATAAATATATATCTATTAAAGTAATTTCTGACTTTTAGTAATTTTTATAGAAAAGTCATTTCGAATAATATTTATTTTTGTTAAAAAAACGATTTCTTACATACAAATCAGATCTGGCTTCTAATTAAAGGAAAAGAACAAATCCTATACATCTAACTGCAATAAATTAGGAGCAGGCTTTTATCTGAAATAAGATTAATTAATTCTGAAGACATATATAACAGAAAAAAATGATAATACGTGGAAAGTGGACCGTCTTTAATTAAAATAAAAGCTTAAAGTTGTGTTTGTCTAATATTGCTAACAATATTCTTTGTGGATTAGTTGACAATTTGAACCATCGCTTTGTATAAAAAAATAGGATATTTTTAATAATTATTAAATACTTGTATTTCTTTGTTTAGGATTGTCAAAATTACGATTCAAACGTTACTTTATGGTATATTTCATAATGAGTACAAATTGATAAACCTTTTATTTTATGATAATTTAATCCAAATGAATGATTAAGCACTAAATAAATTCAACAGTATATTAAACAAGTCCCCATTCAACTCTAATGATAACATTATTCTCTTAATAATCAACTGTTTATAATTAATACATAGTTAGCGTTACGCAAAGCTACATGTTGTTTATTGCGGCGCCGAATTTCAGTCACTATTCCAGTTAAGACAGTGTCGCTATGTGGATAATTTCACTTGTAATGGAAAACAGTTAACCTAAGGTCTTAAACGCACTGGAGAAAATATTTATGCGACCTTCTGCCTTAACCAAAAATATATGTCTATATATGCCACGAATAATTACAGTTCAAGCTATATAGTGGTTTTATATAAAAACTGTTAAATAAATAAAAGGTTTGAAAATGTTTCATAAATCGGCTCAGGTATTAAACAACACCAAAAACCAAATATTGGTTGATGTTTCCATCTACATCGCCGCAGGTAAAAATATAGCAATGTGGAGGCAGTTTTAGCGTAGCGTAGAATAAATAATGAAGACGAGAGGATTGGGTCGGCAACTCGACACAAAGCAGCGTCGCTCATATCGCTCAACCCGCGACGGCTTAAAACTGTTGCGGCTGGCAAATAAGCTGACAGGACAAGCTTGGCGTAGACATTGCTGTTTAATTTATATACAAACAAAGATTTTGTTACTAATATTACTCATTAAGCACAAAATTATAAGATGAAGCGAAATATGATGACAACATTCCCATAATAAAATTTGAAGTTTCGTTTTGAGTATAATATTATTAGCTCATTGCTTGTAGTAGCAATTCGTCTCCATACACGGCATGTTCACTTTAAGCGCACTCAAAGTAATCCGTGCGTGCATTTATAAACGGTATTCCGTACACCTGAGTGAAATGAGACGAATGCATTTGTAAATAACATACCTACTACTTACTCATCAACCAGAAATTGCTGTCTTGTAATAAACCAATAGTCATAACCAATAATAATCAAAGTACGTCTTTCCCTACCAAACAACCTAAACTAAACATTATTTCTTTACTTTTCATACCTTTTAGCACTTAGAGAATAGTTATTTGAAACCTAAAAGTTATTTAATCCTGATCCTTCTTCCGAAACTTAGATTAATAATTTATTATTTAAAGTTAACAATTAAATCTTGGTTTAAAACATTAAATTGCAAAGTGGACTCGTTTTATTTTGTGTTTGAAACATTGAAATTTAAGACTTAAAATTTTCTTCACATGCGGCTAGTAACGCCATCTAGTGGCTAGAAAACCTGCTTCATAAAATTCATTTGTTCCCATTTATTCTACCGTTTCTAACTAGATGTCACCTTATGTAGCTTACAAGTTATCCTTCTTATTTTTCTTTTACCATACATAGTTTTAGTTTAGACTTTAGTTATTTTGAATATAATTTTATCTAAACAAGTGAAATAATTTAGCTCGTGTGCATTTACAGCAGCGAATTGTTCTTCTATTTCTAATTATTATAAGCCCTTTTAGCATGCAACGAAAAAACTTACAATTTTATTTAAGTAATCGACTGTTATATAACTAGCATATGTATGTATATTTTATTTAAATGTATTATTTATTTAAATAGTAATCCTGACTTCGTCTACCCGGCCTCTCTGCACAAGCAAATCAGCACATTAAATAATATCCCCCATTCGATGGACGGTTTCATGCGTAACGATCACTTGCTGACAGGGGACGCTGGTGAACCAAACCAAGAACTTGTGGTCTAACACTCAACGCTCGGAACCCGCTGCCAAAGGAAGACTGCAGACAAACGGGAAAAAGTAACCGACCATTAAGAGGTATTGTAAGCGTCGATGCTCTTCTCAACACCGCCGTGTAACCACCGGTAAAAACAGACAGCCCTCGGTCATTGAGCAAAAGTATTCTAGTACCGAAACCCTGGAAACCAACAGTAAACATGAGTTTCGGGGCCAACTAGGAAAACTGAGCCCAGAAGCAGGACGTCTATTTCACCCTAAGACTCAGATACCTCAACTAGACAATACAATATACTATCTACTCGAATCATCATAGTTGAAACGTCCTGATGAATACATTTAATGTAAATTTCCGTTTTCTTCAAGTGAAGTCACTGCATGTAAAATTCAAATACAAGCTATTAGTGGGCAATACCAACAACGATTAACTTTGTGTGTGAAATTAAAAATATAGCTATCCTCATTTTGTGTTGTTTTCATCGGAGACTTGTAGCAATCGTTACCATTAATAGTTATTTAAGAATATGTTCAAGAGATTATTTTACCGATATTTTTACAGCCACCGGTATAAATATGTGTAAAGCTAATTAATTATTATAATGTAAATTAAAGCAATAAAATTTCATTCTAGATTGTTAATGTGAAATTTAAATTTAAAACATAAACTAGCTCAACACTGATTTAAAATTAATAAAAAGGGAAGGAAGTTAATTGTATTGTAAAATAACGATTATATGATGGTATATAAAGCTTCAATTATCGTTTCACGGCAACAGCAATAGATCAAGCATTTTTGTTTCAGAACATTCTTCGGGAGAGGTCAGCCCGGGCACTAAAGAGCTTGCACATATTTTATAAAAGTTTTCCCAAGTCCAGGGCTTGCTTTATTTTCCTCGCTAACAATGTTGGGTGACGTTGACTGATCGCGCTCTCAAGACTATAGCACGAGTTTAAAGTCCGCTCATAGTGTATATTATAGAAACTGCTAGTAATTTATAATACTCTTCTAGATTGCAAATTAGTCAAAATTAAAGTAGGAAATATTTTATATACATTCTACGGCAAGGGAACTTACCTTAAAGTACTAACCAACCGGTAAATAAATTGCTGTTACAGACAAAATGCATAAAATACATATATATGCAACAAAATGCAAGGTATAAAGAATTATTGTCTTATTAGTTATTTGATCTTGATATTTTAATGTATATGAAAGTAAACATATATTTTCTCTTAAATTATAGTATTTAAAATTAAATCTCATCACAAAGCACAAGCTGATTGTATAAATAGAATTCTTCTGGCAGGACAGCTTAGTTTCACTTTAAACGGTTTGCTCTTGTCCTTCACGCGTCCCCTACCATGGTTTGTGATATGAATATTAAATTGTGAATTCATGTAACTATTCTTAGCTTTTTATTTAACAACTTCTAAGTAAAAAATATATTTTTCTAATTATATTAATAAATTTAAATAGTTATAAATATTACTATTATTTAAGTCATACTAACAAGATGGGTTTGATTTACTAAGATCGCCGTAGACTTAGTTATATTTTGTAGAATAAAATCGTATGTGAAGACCTTGGTTCTAAAAAAAATATTATGGTGAACAAATGGTTGGGGCCCATCAGTAGTTCCGTAAAAGTTTTCAATCGTCCGATAAGAGGCTTGCGGAGACCTCGATATAATTTATTTACCGAATCAACAAACAAACTTACTCGCTTTGTTGATAAATCAGTATTTATTATTCAGTTGTTGCTCTTAAGCTCCTCAATACGATTACCAATATTGTGGTTTTCACTTTGCACTTATTTTATGAATATTTTAATGATGTTTCAACTCCGGCCGCAGCCAACTGCTAGTACATGAAGTTACTTTTCAGGGCAATCAAGGTAATTACTTCAGTCTAGTCTTTACTATGAAGAGAAAGTTTATGCGAAATTCCGGAAATTTATACAACGAACCGTGTGCGGTCTTGGTAAGATCTAGGTGTAATATTTTAAGGATGCCGAAGACGTGAAAGAACCACGGGGTGTGATTAATTTTAATTGTGGGATTTAATTACGGAGTGAAATATAGACGACAAGACAAGTTTCGTGGATCAAAGCAATGTTTATGAGCTGCGGTCGTTTGATAAACTTCATGTATGAATATACTAAGAGGATGTTAGTTGGTCTAAATTAATAGTAATAAATCTAAATTCTTGTGATATTAGTGCTCATTCCTTTGTTCAGGAAGCAAAGAAAACAAAACTATTTCTTCGATAAGAAACAAAAAAAATTCTTTGTTTGGATTTTACTTCAATGAGAAACTATGGCAAGAACTTTGGGATTATTGTCATCTAAAATTTGTTTTTCCTATAATTTTTTTTTTATGTTGACTGAATTTTGCTTACCTATATCAAAAATAATTTCGAAATAATTCTACATTCCTTTAACTAGCTAAATTAATTTTCTTGACTGATATTAGATTCCAGCAGCTTTACCGATTTTATATTTTAAAGCCTTCTAACACAAATAATTGATTATTATAAGAAAATATTAATAAATTGTAGATGAATCAGTAATGCACGGAATTGGTTAATTTCTTAATTAAAATTAGACATATGTATTTTAAAAACATTTTTACCAAACATTTTTTGCATTTCTTTGTTGTAACTGAAATATTATTTGGAAGTGTTTCTCCTGTAAATTCTTTCATAATTGGATTATGTATTATTCCTTCCAAATAATTCTCATCATATCTGTGAATTCGATTCTCATAACACGAAGGACCACAAAAATACCTATTAAGAGGATTTATCATATTATATCTAGGTAATACTCGTTTTCCAAATCCCGGATGTAGTACAAAAAAGGAAGCTCTTGATCAATTCTCTGCTCAACCTTCAGACTTTCTGATCAGTAGAGCTTTCTGATCCTTAGCCAAAGCGGTTAAAACAAACTTAAATTGAGCCAACCTGGTGAGACTTAAATTAATACACAAAAGAGAAAAAAATGTTAACAGCTGATTTCTCTGTTTTTAATTCCACTAACAATTTATTTTTCTTTCAAACCAAAATGAACCAGAACCTTATTAACAGAAAAAATCAAATTGTCCTTAAATGGAAATTTTAGAAATTGTTGATAAATATGTCCATAACACTGCAAAATAAATAAAGTTATCTTTCTTTCCTTCTTACATATATGAGCATAGATTAGAATATTTAGCAAAATATACAAAAAAAATCTTTACTTTTTTTATTTTATCAGATTACTCCTCTTAGTTACACCTGTAATATCGATTTTCATAGCCTGGAAGTTGTATGAATAAATGATAGTTGAAAACAAACTACACTTTACACTTACGAAGTTCGTTGCTTTAATTGAAATGAAAGCTGACACCTAATTTATATTATAAATTATAGTATTAAAGTCAGAATTTTAATATTTTTTATTGTAACCAGTTTATTACTTTTCATGTAGATAATTAAACTACAAATATTTCTAGGTAAAAGTATTCTATTCTATATGAAATACAATTTTAAAAATTCTATTTTCGTCAAAGGGTGAAAATAAAACAAATCAAAAATATTCTATTAATTTTTAAAAACGAGTGTAGTGAAGCGAAATTAAAAATATACTATTCGCTGAACATAAAAAAAACCTTTTGTACCTTTGAAACGTAAAAACAAAATATCATATGTTTGGAAATGTTTTTTAATAACTCCGTATATTGGTTTTTTCATTTCATCATGATATTTGTGAAATGAACACAAAAAAAAATGAAATTGACTTTAAAGTCGGTGAATTTTAAAACAGTATTCATATATTGACAATCTAACAATGTATTGAAACATGTGCTTTTAGTATACCTGATCAAACATTGGCAGAAAATTAACAACAAAGCGTCGATTATCCCCTACTATGATAATATTTTAATTTTTATACGAGATTGTGGTTCCTTGTTAGTAATATTTAAAAATAATTATAAAAAAATACACTTCAGTTCCTTCTAGCATGTTTCTATATTTCTTCTTTGAAATTTTCTTATTAGTTTCGTTGACAATGTTCTACATATGTAAATAAAAGTACAGCCGCTTTAAGATAATATAAAGTACCTAATTAATATATGTATATTTTGTTAAATTATGACAGACCGTCATTACTTTTTACTAGATATAAATCGATGACCATAAATATTATTGAAATCTGCTATGCAATTGCACTGTATTTTGAATATTTTTAATTTTTAAGTGTACATAATTTTAAAAGTAGAAAACATTTCCAATTAAACGTATTGTTGTGAAGTCAAAATATCCATAAATTATTATTAGATCTTAAAGTTTGTCTCTTTTCTTTTATAATTTACCAAATGAATATTGAGCTATTAACATTGTTTACAAACACAAGAAAAAAAAAGCACAGAATAATACAGAAAATAAGCGCCTTGGTTCTGAACCGTCGGCTGCAGATCTATCAATCAAGATTTAATTGAACCCCTTCTACATTTATATTACATTACATTTTTGTATTTCTATAATTTAATTAAACTCCTTGTTACTTTTAACTCACATAGTAAGGGTCACAGTTTTTGGTCATTGTTTAGAGTATCCATTTTAATTTTCAGTGCAAATCATCGAAGTGAGCGTTGCTGGTCAATGTTTGCCCTCAGCAAATACAACAGTCCCGGTCATTGTTAGAAATATGGTTGTTTGTTACCACAACGTCCACTCTCGTGGATTGGCTATAATGAATCGCTTTATACACCCCACTCGTTTGGAGCTCCATTAAACTGGTCATAAAACGGTTTATATACAAAATTTGTTCTCGTTTCTTGATACATAAATTCATATAACTAGATTTACAAGTATTTTACATCCAAATTACTTAAAATTTTTCTAGTTTAATACCCATGAATTAGATAATAATTACATTTTCTATTACTGATATAATCGTAATTTTATATAAAATATCACTTTTTAGTTTACATTTTCATATTTTGGTTGCCATCTTTAATATATGTATGTACCTGTATAAAGTCGAGTAATATCCAACACACTCCTTTTAAAAATTCATAATATTATTGAATTGGAAATATTTTTCTAAGAATTTCTAGATGTATTTTTATGAATATATATGATTTAAACTGAAATATTATGTTGCGTATTCACTCAGTTTAACAAAAGGCAACATAAAAAAAAACATAAAACGTCCAATGTAATGAATAATATAAA